CTGGCAACCTGCAGGTCACTGCTGCTGGCATGTCGGCCTTCATCCACAGACTGGGTACAAGGACCATAGGTATCCACAGGATGGCTATGTTCAGAGTTAAGGTTGCAATGCCTTTGGCAGGGCTGGATCCCCCTAAGGGAATCAAAGCCTAACTCTCTGCCACACCAGAGCCCCGAAGGAAACCTCCCTGTCCCCAGGGCACTGAGTGACAGATCAGAACCAGGGTTCTAAAATTCCTGCCCAGAGAACCTTTGAAAACTGATGTCCAAGGCCTTCCCTGATGAAAAACTGAGGTTTTGGAGGGAGGGTCCTTTGGGGGTCCCATGGATGAGGTAGGGGTGTCGGATATGTGCTGGTCAAAATCCCACAGCAGCCAGAAGCATAGGAGGGGAGAATATTTAGGACAGCAGATCAAGACCAGCCAGGTGAGATTGTCCTGGGCCAGGAAGACCTGGCCCTCTCCTGGGTATCTGGGACCCCAGGGTAAGGAGCCTACACACCAACACTCCCAAAACAGCTGCCCAATCCTTGATCCAGGTACGAAGCCCAGAGGTCCCCATCAGTGCCCCCTCATGCTGGAGACATGGTGCTAGTCAGCTTTGGGGGAACAGCCAGGCCTTTGCCCCTACTGGAGTGGGTGACTCTCGGAAGGAGGGCCTAGTGAGGGTGCATTTGGGGTGATAGGTGGCAACCACCGAGCTGCAGCTGTTTCTCTCCTGCTCACCAGGCCAGGCTCCAGTTCCAGCTCTTGCCCTTCCTAATTTTGTTCACATGCCCCAGCCTCCCTGAGCCCCCGTTGCTCCACTGTGACATGGGACCCTTTCACCTCTGAGGAGCATCCTAGCCTTGGGAGCAGCAGACGGGGCAGTGTATTTAAGTTCTGCCTCTCTGTCCTGCCTCTTGTCTTTTCTACCCCACCCTCTTCAACCAGCTCCTTCAAATAAGTTCTCTGTCCCCTTTGATTGCCATGGGAAAGGGGCAGGCGAAACTACATTATGATCTTATCCTAGACTAGAAGTCTGGGGTCAGGGGGTGTGCCCTGAAAATGAGCCATCAGGGGCTCAGTACCTTCACACATCATGGATCAGAGAGGACTGTGGGGGAGTGTGTGGCTCTCAAGGGCTTCAGTTTCTCTTTCTTGGCCCTCAAATTCTGAGACGCTGCCCATCTTCCCGATGGGTTCAATGAGTCTCTAGAGGTCGGCTGACCTGGAAGCAAGGCCTGATGGACCTCCATTTTGGCTGCTACAGCAGGATAGGCCTGATGCTTTTGGAGTCTCCCTTGGTGTCCAGAATCCTGTCTCGGGGCCCCGTTCCTTGCCGGCCAGGAGAAGGTTAGATGAGGCTTGGGTCCCTTGGGTGGAGGCTGCAGTTCTGAGGTGGGGACACTGGCTGCTTAGGGGGTATGGGAATGAGTCCATTTCTCTCATGTCCTTAACCAAGACTCTTAGACTCAGGCGATTCTCTTCAAAGCCACTCCCAAAACAACTGCCCAATCCTTGATCCAGGTACCAAGCGCAGAGGTCCCCATGGGTGCCTGGAGGACCCAGCCGGCCACATGAAGTTCCTGCACCTACTGACAGGGGTGATAGCTGTACCAAGAGCTGCCTACGAACTCTGTCAAACAGAGGCTGGGTGTCCTTCTGCCTTATCCATAGGGTTTGGGTTTGTTAGGATTTTCTGACATTTCAGGCCACAGGAACACATAGGAATTAGACTTGCACCCCAAACTCCTCGATTGTCTTTTCTTTGTAACGTCCTGGTTTCCTCCCAGACTCTGCGTTGGATTTCTGAGCCCAGGGAGCTCTCTGTCCTTTGCTGCCTACAACCAACACTCACACCCAGCAACACCCGCGCTACCTACCACCAGCCCCAACACCCGGCGGCACTGCACCCCCGCTTCTCTGTCACACTTCTGCCTTGGGCTGTGGGTGTAGCCAGTTAAGTCTGTGCTGGGGCGGGGACAACTCATTTCTTCACTCTCTCTGGAGATGTTTTCTTTTTCCTTCTTTTCTTTTTTTCTTTTCTTTTCTTTGAGATGCTCTCTTCTATGGGGACTATGGGGCCCAGGCTGGCTGCAAACTCAAGGCAATCCTCCCGCCTCAGCCTTCCAACAACCGGGATGACCAACAGGCACCCCTACACTTGGCTCTAGAGATGTCTTTTTAAGTCCCATGACCACACGCCCCATTCTGCATGTTATCTGCCCCACTTCTTGGAGCCCGGCTGCCTTCTCACCCCTTCTGCCCCCTTGCAGCTCACTTCTTCCCTCTTGCTGCTGTCCTCTGTGGTCTCTCACCTACCAGCCTTCTCTCTTCCTCTGGTTGCTCTTCCAAAGTAACCCAGACTGCCTCCCTGTGCCCACCCCGCCATTCCTGCCAGACAGGCAGCCAGAGAGGTCAGTCTTGCCCCTTGTCCTGCCCAACTGTGATAGGTACAAGGCCAGGCTTCTCTGAAGGAGCCCAGGGTTCTGCTGAAGTTACACCAGTGGGAGACAAGGCTTCCTCACGTCTATGTGTCTTCGTTTTCACCATTATGGCCTAAAATATGACATGGGTATATCTAACCATTCCTATTGACTGCCTACTGTGTGTTAAACATAGGGAATGTAGCTGTGAACAAGTCACAACTCCTGACCCTGATAGAAAATGTCAAGAAAGTCATAGTCTAAGCAAGGGCAGAGATGCTCGGAGAAGGGGGAGACGGCCTTCAAGTCTGAGCTCCACTGAAGGATGTTCTGGAGAGCAGGGAGACATGCAGGGCTTGAAGGCATGCAAGGGTCAGAGGCCACGGGCTTGCCCTTTGGCACAGTGGGAACCGGAAGGGCAGTGTAGCCAGCTCCAGCTATTATTTGTGAGGGCAGCAAGTGTGCCATAGAGAGGGTGGTCAAAAAGGGTCTGTAATCCAGGCTAGAGATGCCAAGGACTAAGGATGAGGAGAGGTAGGTAGGGTCAAGAGGAAGGTCCAGTACGAATATCCAACTTCTTTGTTTTTATTTAAAAATTTAAGTGTGTGTGTGTGTGTGTGTGTGTGTGTGTGTGTGTGTGTGCTCACGTGAGTGTGGGCTTGTGTACTTGCTTGCAGTGCCCAAAAAGGCCAGAAGAGTGTGTCAGATTTCCAGAGTTGGAGTTACAGGCAGTTGTGATCTGCCAGATGCTAGTTCTGAGAACCAAACTTATATCCTCTGCAAGAGCAGGATGGAGCCGTCTCTCCAGCCTGAGGGTTATGGTTGTGATTTTATCTTGGCCAGCATTCACAGCTATCCTGACGCAGGTAGAGTTCATGGGCAGCAGACTGGACACTCCTGATACAGGATGAAAACCCCAGGGCCTGAAATGGGTGTCCTGAAGGGATAGGGAGAAGCCGAGGTTTTGTGGCCTTCACTTTCCACACAGGAAACTGAAGCCCAGGAGAATTAACTCCCCCACAGCTGGTCCAGGGGCTGAGAGCAAGCACCCACCTGGGTCTCTCAAGGCTAGTGGAAGGGGCAGTGATGCAAGCCCTGTCTCCAGCAGCCATGCTGACCACCACTGCACACCAGCAGAGCCTGGTGGGTCAGTAAATCACTTGGAATTTCCATCTAAGTTTTTTACATTATGATCAGAAATCCGTGTCCAGCTGTGACAGTGTCCTGGGCGTGTCAGTATGCTGGAAAGTGCCCAAACTGGCTTCTTCCTGCTCCCTTGAGCAGAGCTGTTGGCCAGTATGCCCAGCTCTCCACAGTTGGTTGAGCACTCTACACCCCGACCTGAATGCCTCATCCTCCCAGACATGGGTCAGGAAGCTTGTCCCTGCCATTGTCACCTCCACCTTAGAGGATGGTGAATTCCTCCGCTGGTGACCCCTAAGTCGGGTCCTCACTGGGGCAGTCGACAGCCTGGAACCATTGACTGTGAAGGAGCAGGGGGAGCCCAGCTCTTCCCTGGCTGTCATTTCACAGTAGGTTGAGTGGCCTTCGGCTCTGGGAGATTTCTTGTGAAAAAGGAGTTGTGTGTCTGTTACTGCCTCCTAAGATAGGCATTTGGGGGAATCCAGTACACAGTGGTTGCTTAGGAAATGCTGGGTGGTTGTCTTTGAACCATGACTCTGCTGTCCTCCGGCAAGTCACCCTGGGCTATGCCTGTCCCCTGTGCTTGGAGATGGCAGGCAAACTAGTGGGACTTCCAGAAGCTGGGTTGAAGGAGCCTCTGTGTCAGGGGGCCGGGGCACTGTGTGTTCCTGAGGCTTGGTCCAGTTTGCCATGTTTCTGGTGGCAGAACCCCAGAAAGGTTGTTTCACCTTGGGTGCCCCTCAAGAGCCCCAACAGGTAGATTCCAAATTGCTCTCAGTGTCCCAAGGTTGTGGCATCCTGTCCCAGGATCACTTTTGTCTAGTCACAAGGACTTAGGAGACACTCTGATTTCTGCCACACAAGGGAACCTAAGATTCAGGGGGAGGGGGTATCACTGCCCTCCGTTCCTTCAACTCCCAGTGCAGTATCCCCTCTGGCCAGACAATCGTCCAAGGACCCTGCCTGAGAAGACCTTAGTCCCTGGCCCCACCTCTGAGAAAAGGGTCTAGGGCAGCCTGGTTCCTGCTGGACTCAGGTCGGGTGGGGCTGACGGCTAAGGCACCCGGCTGAAGGCTTTGATCCGCAGTGGGAGGAGCCTGTGTCCACGTGAAGGGGTCTGCATGGATTTCTGTGGGCACAGCCTTTTCTCCTGGGATGGACGCCTGGAGAGGGAGTGACTTCAGGAGACATTGATGGGAACCCAGGGGTCCCTGGGCATGGTGTGTGTGCGTGACCATAATGTTGAGTGCCGGGTGGGCAGTTGGGGTTGAACTACCCTGTGGTTCCTGTGGTGTCTTCAGAAGGAAAGAAGAGAGGCAGCTGAGAGCTGTTCCCTGAGCTGGCCCTTTGGCCGCTGAAAGCTCCAAGACGCCAGCCCCGCCCTCCCAACGAGAGACCCCGCCCACCCTAGCCCCGCCCAGAGGGAGGCTCCGCCCCCGGCCTGCTTTTGCGCTCCGAGCGCTCCACGCTGCGCCGCCGCGAGCAATGGTTCACAGGGCCCGGCGCTGGGCGCACGGCCCCGGGCGGAGGCGCGGGGCCGGGCTGGGACCCCACGGGGTCGCCGGGCTTGCTGCTAGCAGCCGACTATCGTCGTAGGGGACGCTTGGCGCGCGTGGGCCGGGGTGAGCATGAGGACTCTCCGCAGGTTGAAGTTCATGAGTTCGCCCAGCCTCAGTGACCTGGGCAAGAGGGAGCCGGGCGCGGCGGGCGCGGACGAGCGGGGCACGCAGCAGCGCCGGGCCTGCGCCAACGCCACCTGGAACAGGTAAGGCGCGCAGCCCGGAGCGGCGTGGCCGGAGACGGCAGCGCGCCACTTTGCGCGCAGCTCGCCCCGCCGCCGGGCCGCGTGCGGGGAGGGAAGTGTGAGCAACGTGTCGGCGGCTGGAGCCCTCGATCGCTCCCCGGGGGCGGGCGGCCCGGAGCAGGAGGCTTCTGCGCCCCCACTTCGCAGGGGCGCCCTCGAGCCTCGTGGACCCCCCGGCGGGGCGCCGCTGCACTTCCTGTATGCGTGTCGGGGCTCTCGGCGCGGGGTGGGCGGTGGCTTTCCCAGAGCTGGACCCCGGGCCTCCCAGCTGTCCGCGGGGGTGCGCCAGCTGCCAGACATTCCTTACCGGACCCTTCCGGAGGCCCATCCCGAACCAGCCCGGCGTGGGAAGCCCCTCCCCTAGCTGTGCTCTCTGAACCATAGTCACAGTTCTTTCAGCGGAGTGGTCCACGGTGGGTCTCCTCTTGGCCCCTTCAAAAAGAAAGTATTTCCACCCAAAGTAAAATACGGATGGAGTGTGAGGCAGGCTGTTCAGTGTTCAGGGAGGTCTGTATGTAGGTGCTGGCTCTCCACCTCACCCCTCCAGCTGGCGGCGAAATCCTGCCAGGTGCTTCACCCGCCCTGGTCTGCCACCAGGGACATGGCTGTCACTTGGATACACATGTCTTCTGCTCATCTAGTCCGTGAGCAACCAGGGGACGCCGGGCTGCCAGCTGGGACCCTAACTTACACCCTCCACTAAGCTGCAGACTGCTTGAGAGCTACTTGCCTCCGTTTCCCTCTCTATCCTGGGCCTGCACAGTGCTCCTCATTGGGCTGGGAACAGAGCAGTAAGAGAAGGAAGACTATTTCTACCCCAGAACTGCTCCCCACTGTCTTCGTTCCCTTCCTTGTCCCTGGCCAAGGGTTTAGTGCAGCCATGCTGACTTTTGGTTCAGATTTCAGCTCCATTTCCCTGCTGTGTGGCCTTAAGCAGTTTGCTTACCACCTCTGGTCCTCAGTTTAATCAATAATATGGATGAGTGGCTGTTGGATTAAATATGAAAATGCATAATACTGCTCTGAGCGTGATTTCTAGCACACAGTAGTTGCCTTATGACTCAGAACTCAAAGTCTAGGCACATTCAGAGAACACCTATAGGAGTGTCTAGGAAGTTTCTGAAAGCAACTTTGTTGGGGACTCTTTCACCCGATCTGGGGGCCTCCGGCTCAGAGGGCTTAGATGGATCCTCTTCCTACCTTGTGTGGGAAGATCTGCTCTTTGCTGGAGCTCTAGGGGGCCCTTGCAAGGAGAGGTCACCCCAGTCCTCTTACAGGTTTTCCCCTTGGCGGCCTAATGAGGGCCCCCACAGTATCTGAACAGCTCCAGCCTGTGGGTGGGAGGGTCCCTGTGCCAGGCTGTTGAGGGGCCTCAGTTCACCTTGTCACCATCCTAGCCAACAAGGGATGTTTCACCTCCCCCACCCCAGCTGAGAGATGCAGGCTTCCCCCAGAGCACCCAGGACTCATACTGCACCGCATTGCATGGCTTGAGTCCTGATTCCATCCCAGGCAGCTGAATGCTGAGACACAGATGAGTGAAGGGACTTGAGACGGTGGGCCCAGAGTTCCCTCCCAGCCCCAGCTCCTGTCTGTCTTTCTGCTCCCTTCCCCAACTGTACTGCCTGCACTGCAAGGGCTCCAGGACTTCAACCCTGAGCAGGGTCGGGACAGCTGTATCAGCCTGTATGGCTAGCCCTCCAAGCCACGGTCCTCATTCTGAGCCCAAGCACACACCCCTTTACGCCTGTGACCTCATTAGTGTCCAGGGGCCACTGGAGTCATGCCACACTGGACGACGACCCCACACACAGGAGTGTGCTGTGTCACAACTGGATGTGGAGGTGTGGCCTGGCTGTCCCTTTCTGGGGGCTCTAAGGAGGATCCTGCTTTGCTTCCACTGTCTCAGCTGTCCTTTATGGCAGCTTCCTTTTAGAGCCATCTCTGTTTTCAGTCTGTGTTTTCACAGGGCCTTCCCTAGCAAAGTCGCTTTGGTTTTTGGAGGGAAGTGGTGGTTATTGTTTGTTGTTGTTTCTTGATACTTATTTAATGTGTGTGAGTATTTTGTCCCCACCCTGTATGTGTGTGTATGTGTGTATATGTGTGTGTTTGTGTGTTTGGTGTGCACACATGCCTAGTGCCTGCAGAGGCCAGAAAAAGGTGTTGGATCCCCTGAAAGTAGAGTTCCAGGCAGTCGTGAGCCACCAGGTGGGTGCTGGGTACTGAACCGAAGGCCTTTAGCAAGACCAGCCTAGTGCTCTTAACTGCCGAGCCGCCTCTCCAGCCCCCTTGTTTTGTTTTGTTTGTTTGTGACAAGGTCTCAGCGTATTCCAGGCTGACCTGGAATTCACTATATAGCCAAAGATGATCTTCAACTTGTTATCCTTCTACCTCCACCTTTCCAAGTGCTAAAATTACAGACATGTGTCACCACACCTGACCCCATTTTTTTTTTTTAATGATGTCATCAGCTACCAATTCAGGGATACCCCAGCCCAGGACCACTTCATCTCAAGACTTTTAGCCCATGATAGCTGTAAAGAGTCTTGTTCTCCAGTCAGTTTGAAAGTTTTAGCTGTACAGGAACACCTAAGAGTTGGTGGCCAACCCCTTACAGTGAAACTGGGCACATCCCCCAAATTCAGTGCATGGCTATTGCGATATTGTAACATAATCCATATACTCACTCATGCATTCGTTTTCTCAGTGTTGGCCGAGGTCTTGGTTTAGAAGCCTTGCTCAGAGCCGCAGACCCTACACCAAGTCAGAAAGTAAGGGGCCGAGCAGAGGGGAGGTAATTGCTGGTGGCGCCTAGCACTTGGAGGAAGTAGAACAGGGGACACTGGACAGAGCTCAAGGGCACAACAGACCTCCCAACTGGCCTAACAACTCCCTCCTGCCAGGGAATTGCCCTCCTCTCCCCAGTCCTTCACCGCTAGAGACTCCAGGAAAACTCCCAGAAGGTATCCAGGCCCCTCAATAGACTTGAAGTGCCAAGGGGAACACCCCAGGGAATCCTAGCCTTCTGAGCCACCTTCATTCAACCATTGCCTCACCTCTGTTCCCCAGCAGGTGAAAGCCCGGGCAGGCGGATGCAGGAGAAAGTACACCCCAAAGTGTGGGACCCCTTCAGTGTAAGGTGTGCACCCCTGCCCCCAGTCCTCCTCCTCCTCCCAGGTGTCCTTCTCCCTGTCCCTAAAAAGAATGAGGACGTGAGAGGAAGGAGGTGACCGGGATGTCCCTTGACAGCAGGGTCTGGGATCTGAACCAGGCCTACCAGGGAGCCCAGTGTCCAGGGATGCCTCTGAGTTCCTGTCCCATTTGGGACAGGATAACTTGAGCATTAGTGATCAGAGCTCTATTTCCAGGGCTGCTGACCCTTACTCAGATTGGAAAAAGGAGCAGGGCCCTTGGGAACCTTCAGGTAGGGTTGAACACGTGTGTCATACAGATGAGAAGACTAGGATTCAGAGAGATGCAGGGATCACCTAGGCTTAAAATGTGAGAGGGAACAGAGGCCAGATATCACCCAGGCCTGGGCCAAAGCTTCCAGGCTCGAGTCCTGGGGTTCCAGGTCCCCTCAATCACCTTTCCTTCTTGCTCTGCCCTGGGCCCCAGAGTAGGTGGGGTCAGCAGAGCAGTGACCGGAAAGTGTCCCTGCCCTAGTTCTCAGCCTATGGATGTGGGCTTTCACGGGGCTGGGAGACTTTGCAGATGTGGTTAAATTACTGAGCTGAGGTGACGGCCCAGCCTGTCTAGGTGGCTTTGTGTGGTCACAGAATCTGTGACGGGGGTGGGACACGTCAGAGTAAGATCTGAGACCTGGAGGCAGGGGACTCAGGTGCTTCTAGAAGCCAGACAAGGTGGAACATACCGCCTGGAGCCTCCCTAGGAGGCAGCCATGCTGCGCTGCGTTTCAGCCCAGCCTGGCTGAGTAACAGATGTCAGAGCAGATTTGGCTTGCTTTAGACTACTAAGTGGTTTTAACCGTCTTGAGATAGTCACCCCTGGCTCCTCTTCTTCTCAAGGACCAACCTCTCTCCCTAGGCACCAAGAAAAAGGTCTGAGGTGGAGGCATGGCTTCCTGCCATGTAGCTTCTAGGTATATTAAGGAAGGCTCCTGACAAATAAACACGTTATTTTGTCCATGTCCTCTGATGCCTCTCGGGGAGTCCAGAGCAGGCTGGGAATCTGGGATATACGGTGTCTTCACCCCTCCCTACAGGAATCTCAGCCTTCTAGTGACATTGTAGATTCATCCTCAGTGGAATCAGGGTGGCCACAAGTGAGTGTCCAGGAGCCCCAAGGCTGGCCTTCAGAGACCTCCCCTTCCTCTCAGGCCTGGGCGTTCCCTCCTTTGGTGGCAATCTGTTTCAGGCCTTGCTGTTGGGCCAGGTTTCTTCTCCCTGTGCCCACCCAGTGAGGTCATACAGTCTTTGGGGCTGGGGCCTGGCCTGCCTGCACTGAGAGCCTCGTTATCTAGTAGAGGCTATCGGCCAGAGACGGGTGGGGCCCTGCACCTGAGGCTGCCCTCGCCCGGAAGTCCCTCCACTTCCTGTGGTTTCCTGGGGACCATCTGCAGATGTCCTGACTTTGCCACTCTGGCCAGGAGGCTGTGGCTGAGAAAGGCGGGGTTTCACTTCCGTGTTTCAGGATGACATCACAGGGGGTCCTCTGGTGCTCTCTCTCCTCCCTCTCTCCAAGTAGCTGACAGGTTTTTTGTTTTATTTTGTTTTGTTCTGCTTTGTTGTTGTTGGTTTTTTTGGACTTTGGGAAGCCCACAGGGCCTCACAGAGATAGGGAGAATCAAAAGGAGCAGGCTCTAACCTGTGTGCCCTCAAGGTTGGGGACAGGAGGACGGTGGGCCAGTGCCTCATTTCTGTTCCAGTCCTGCTGAATAGAAGATGTGACCCTTGACCTCTGTTAGCCTCAGTCCCTGACTGTCCCCACCTCATGTTGATCTTCAGGGTCAGGGTTTTAGAACACGGAAAGACCACATACCGTGGATGGCCCCTGGGTAGGTGTGGCTAAGGTGTCCTGAGTAAGTACCCATCCCTAAAAGGCCCCAAGAGGTAGGTACTGTGTTCCTTCAGCTCATTTTATAAAAGGGAACACCAAAGCCTGGAAGCTAGAGCAGGTTATAAACCCAGGCCTACCCCTCAGGATGTCTTTCGGGCTGGACTAAGTGTGGGACTCAAGGGGTACATGGGTGGAACTCAAGCTGGACTGGCCTAAGGTTGTTGATCAACTGGCTATGTGGTATGTGTATAGTGGGGGCTAGTGGGGCTGCAGGGCATTACCTAGCGTAATGCAGGAGGGAACTATAGCCAAGTAGCCATTGACAACAGGGAGGGGCTCAGCCTTGGGTAGGAGGGTTTCCAGGACACCGATACAGTTGTAGCCGAGACCACAGGACTTTGCCTACACTGGACCTACACTGTCTGCACTGATGGAGACCTGGTCTCCCGAGGGCATGCTGTCACCCCACAACCCTGACTTATCCCTATGGCCAAGGCCTCCACAGTATGGTAGGAAAGGTCTCGGGTACCACTGTGAACCAAGTTCAGCGGAAGGACAAAACAGTGGTCCGGCCTTGACAAGGACAGCCAGGTTTTACCTAGCAGCAGAGAAAGGTTAGTCCCACGACCATACAGAAACAAGGCTGAACAGGCCGAGGGGACCTGTGACCTGGAATAAGGAACTGAGTAGAGAGCAGAAGAGCAGGAGCTAGCCAAGCAAAAGAAAGGCATGTGCAACCACCCTCTGGCTGGCAGCAGCTTCCCCTCTACCCCCCTAGTACCTGGGTAAGCACGGGAGGCTTGGGAGTTCAGCTGAGAGGCTCCCTAAAGTTCATGCACAGCAGCCTCATGGGCCAAACCCAGTCCATCACCTGATGTATGAACAATAAAGTTTTATTGGTATACAGTGCCACATACCTAACTTCTCAGCACTGAAGAAGATAGCTGAATAGCTGCAGGAGGCTGGGTAGTCTTCAGATCTTTAACAGCTGACCCTCTGGCCCTTTAGAGAAAAGTGCTCATAGCTTCCTGCTTCAGAGAGTTGTAATCAGCAGGGCCTGGACAGGGTCAGCTTCACTGTTGACATTCCTCAGCCCTAGGGAAGAGGCTGTGGGGGCTGGGCCCCCAGTGACTCATGGGGGGCTCCGCCATGGGGCTAGAAGCATTGGGGGGGAGTGGAGGCAAAGTCAGAAGGACCTGGACATAAGAGAAGAGATGCAGAAGGCCCCCAATGTCTGGCCCTGCTGGTAGGATTAAGAGCATGTAGGAAGGAAGGGAAGTTCTGCCCAGATTGGACTATGGGGCCTGCCGGATGCCTGGCAAGTTCCGGTTAGCCAGAGTTTGTGTCAGGAGCCCAGACCTATAGTTGTAGCAAGGTATGGGTACATCCATGATCTCAGGAGGGGCTGGGTGGGACTGGAGAGGTGAGAGGATGAAAGCCTGGGGGGGGGGAGCAAGAAGCCGAGTGCCCCTGGGTGACCCCTGTCCTGTCTGCCCACAGCATCCATAACGGCGTGATCGCTGTCTTCCAGCGAAAGGGGCTGCCGGACCAGGAGCTCTTCATCCTCAATGAGGGTGTCCGGTGAGTATGAACCAGTGCTGTCTGGGAAACCCATCTGTGTGGCTGGGGACGGGGGAGGGAGGGCCCACACCCTGCCCTCCTGGGGACGCCCTTCTAGGGTCAACAGGGTGGAACTTAGACAGCGGCTTGAGATAATGTCCACATTCCCTGCTGCCCCGGTGCATTACAGAGGATATTTATTCTGTCTAAGAGGAAGGGCCCACCTGCTTAATGACCCACTGCCATTCCGGAAACGGTCCAGCCACGAACACCCCTCATTTCCTGTGGCTAGCTGGGAGCCAGGTTGTGAAGTGGCTGAGGACAGAGGAGAATGCTCTCAGGCTACTACTGCCGACCAGGCCACTGTGGCTTTGAGAGAGTTTGCAGTCAACATTTGTAGTGAAGTAGGGTGGGGTTCAGAGTGGTCCAGCTACCTCCCCCGGGGTCACATAGCTGGCACAATGAGGTGTTCCCAGTCGGCGCTGTTAACCTCCAGCCCTGATCCAGAGCACCGTGGCCCCAGATCCAAAGTATATCTGGAAAAGTCAGCAGCGAGCCTTCCCCTTCCTAGTGAAGGCAGGTTGAAAGGGTAAATAGGACAGGAGTCAGCCACACCACACCTAACTGAAAGGACCCTTTTATGTGGGTAAACTGAGGCCCAGGTCACAAAAGGGGGCTGGGGAAGAGTCAAACAGAAAACAGAACAAGGTGCTTCCCAAGTCCCCGTCCTTGTCGCTGCTTACTGCGTCCTGTTGCTCACAGCCCGGGGAACCCATTTTTCTAATGTGTGTCTTACAACAAATCTAAATAGTCCGCTGACCAGTCTGGGGTTGGCCAGTGAAGAGCTCTGGCCTGGCCTGTGCGAGGGAGGCCCAGGTTCTAACCCCAGCGCCACACGCATTACAAGAGTCTGCTGGGGTCAGAGGGCAGAGGGGACATCTTTAAATCCGCAGAGTAGGTAGAGCTCAGCATTGGGTACACCTCCTTTGGTCCTTCTGGTTTTAGGACCACCTGGCTGCTTCCTCCTCTTTTGAGAGGCCTTCAGCCCTTAGGGGGCTACCCTGTTCCCTAGGATGGGTTTGGAGTGGGGACAAGGTTTAGAGAAGCCACCCTGTATCCCAGTACCTGGCTAGAGTGCAGATCCTAAAGCCAGAATGATGGGAGACGCTGAGTTCCGGGACATAGGATGGTCTTGGGACAGCTGCATTTTCACCAGCGCAAAACAAAATGCCAGGCATCCTTAAATAGTGGCAGTGGGCTTTCTGAGCCAGCATGCGCTGAGCATTTGCTGTGCCTTTAACTCTTCCAGTTACCACAGTCCTCGGGGGTCCATGCCATGTTTGTATTTTATAAATTTTCACTCAGCTGGCGGTTTAGTGGCTTGGTGACTTGAGCTAGAACCCAGGTCCCAACTTCTGGGTCCAAGGCAATTCAGAACTGTCCCTTCCCACTCTAGCTCTCCTCCACATGTGTCCATGTTAAATTGTCTAGGTCTCGGGCTTGGAATGCGGCTCAGTAGGTAGAGCGTTTGCTGAGCATATACAAAACCAGAGTTTCAACCCTGACACTGACTACATCAGTGGGGAGGTAGAGGCAGGAAGGCCAGGAGTTTAAGGTCAGCCTCCGCTATATAATTGAGTTTAAGGGCATCCTGGCACATCTGAGGCCCTGCCGGACAGAAAAATTAGCTGGATCTGATTGTGCTTCAAATGCATAGCTGGTCATTGGCTTTGATCCAGCAAGAGAGTCCATGTCTGTCCATAGATGGCTGCATCCGGAAATTCCCCACCACCAAAGTGAGCAATAGTGACATGGACAGGCATCTGTCAGCTGTACCCAGGTAGGGACAACTGTTAGTTGTCACTGTCTTCAGGTTCTCCCTTTGTATGTATATGTATGCGCAGGCACGTGTACATAGAGACGCTTGTGGTTTGCTCACGTCTGCACCCCCAGAGACTTCCACCCTGAGACACTCACAGAGTGGGCCTTCATAAGCCCCGACAGAGATCCAGCTGCATGCCTCTGGTGCAGAGTGGAGCCTGCCCCATGCTCCCTGGCCACCCTCGGGTCAGTCACTGAACTGAGCACTAGGCCACTGTGAAGACAGTGCCACGTGTTCTGGACAAGGTACACAGACACTCAGTGGTGTGAACTCCCAGCCCCCTGAGGCACCTGCTCAGCCACTGTCCTTGATAGACCTACCACTTAACGCACACGGCCGTGGACACTTTTAGTCGCCTGCAACTCATAGACCATGCAGTTCCTCTCTTAACACGCCCTGGTCAGCGTTGAGTGTTCTCAGGTGGTTGTCACCAAACTTCCAGTTTGTTTTGCATCCCTCTGAAACAGTCCCTCCTCTTTAACAGCCCATCAGCCACCCCAGCCTGCCAAGTACAGACAGGTTTCTCTGTGTAGCCGTGGCTGTCCTCGACTCACTTTGTAGTCCAGGCTGGCCTCAAACGCACAGTGATCTGCCTGCCTCTGCCTCCCCGAGCGCTGGGATCAAAGGCGTGCGCAGTCACACGCAGCTCTTAGGTCCGCTTCTTCTCCCTGTTGACTCCCTGGTCTGGATATTTCATGGGAATGACATTTCATGACAGCATGCAGCCATTCCTTTAGCGCTTCTGGAGTCCAGCTGGGTTGGAGCTTGGCTTTGTGATAACATTGATCTCTGCTCCCTCTCATTACCTGTGTGGCCTGTAGCTGTGATAGAGTGCTGCTGTGGGCATCCTTGTATGAAAGGTGTTATTTAGCTCTTGGTTTTGTTTTTGTTGTGTTGTTTGTTTTGAGACAGGGTCTTAATGTGTATCATTGACTTGTCTGGAGCTCTCTATTTAGCCTGGCTGGTCTTAAAGTCACAGAGATTCTCCTCCCTGTACCTCTGCTAGGATCAAAGGCGTGCACCACCACCACCACCCAGGTAGTTTGGGTTTTGAAGAGTAGGTCTGGAGACCTCTGTAACCTAGTCTGGCATTGAACTTGAGATATCTCCTGCCTTAGCCTCCTGAGTGCCAGGATTGTAGGTGTATGCCCAGGTTTTGTGTTCAAGATTTTACATAGACGCGTGATACTGTCGCTCTTAGCATATATCTAAGATCTGCTGGGTGCTGGAGTTTCAGTTTGGAGAGACTCCCCACTTCCCACAGAGTGAACAGTGAGGTGGGGTCCCAGCCTCTCCTTACGTTTCTTTCCAGTTGAGATTCTCACAGCACTGTGGGTGCCACAGTGGCTCCTTGTGGCGTTGGTTGGCATTTCTTGGTGGCTATCCATGTCAGGCGTCTTTTGGGTACTTGCTGGCTGCTCCCGCATCTTCTTCAGAGAAGCATCGGCTCACATCCTCAGGCACATGTCAGTGAGCTGTCTCTCCTGGGAGTTGGCCAGCTTGCAGTGTGTCTTGGTCCTACCTGCAGGTATCAAGCCTGCAGCCGCCTGCATCCCTAGATAGCTATGAGTGCAGCCCAGCACACTCATGACGATACCCCCATAGCACTCCATCAAATGACTGGATACCCTTGGTGCCACCTGTAATCATCCTTTCCACGTCCCATATCCCTTCACCTTCTCCTTGGTTTTCTTCAGAGCGTAGAGGGTTTACTGTTGAGGAAGGCTGATTGTCTTACCATCTTTCTTTTTTCTTTTCATAGCAATCCTCCTGCTTCTGCCTACCCCTGAGGGCATTACAGCTGGCACTACCATGTGTGGCCAGGTTACCATTTTTAATCCGAAAAACTAGGGAACAGATGTTGGGCTTCCTGGCCTGACTCTGACCAATTTGTGTGCCTTCAGTTTCTCCTTCTGTGAGTTCAGGACCAGCCTAGGCCACATAGTGTGTTGGAGGGCAGCCTGAGCAATGTATAGCAAGACAAGACCCTGTCCAAATGAGTGGATGAGCAAGCCTCACAGGAGTGCTCTGCAGCGTTGGCTGTTCGGAGGAGCTTCTCGCTTTTGGCAAAACCATTGTCTTTCATGTTCCATATGTGATTCCACAAATTGGCTGAATCAGCACTCTGTGTAGGTTTGGACCAACAGGAGACTGAGCGTGTTCCGTGCATGTCCGAGGTGGGCCCAGCCACACTGCTGTGATCATTAGAAGGAGAGGGAGCACTTTTTGCTTTTTGAGACAGGGTCTCTTGTAAGGCCTACAAACTCGATATATAACCAAGGATGACCACAGCCTCCCGACAGGTGTGTGCCACTCCATCCAGTTTTGTGCGTATTTGTGTTGTGTGTTTATTTTGATGCAGGCATTTTCAGCTTCCTGCACCTGTGGCAACAGCACCCTCTCCACCTGGCTGTGCTCCATTAGCCTTGTTGGTCACTTCCTCTTTTTGTTACGTTTTGTGTTTGGTTTGTAGTTTTATTCCTCACGTGTTTCCGGTTCCTTTGTGGCTTGTCCTTATTTTTTTTGTTTGCAGTCTTGAGGATTTTGTACATGCAAGGCAAATGCTCTACCAGTGAGCCACTTTTCCAGCACCTGAGCTATATAGATAGCAAGACCCTGTCTAAAATGAGTTTGTTTTCATAAAGCAACTTTGGGGGCTGGGTGGGTTGTTACTGGGAGACATGGTAGAGCCGAGTGATGGGCTGTTGTGTGTGAACTGAAGGACAGATGATCAAGACCGATCACAGAATAACTTTGAAGGAAGTGCCATTCTCAGCCACCAATCAGGATAGAGGGGAGCTTATACTGTCGTCACTCCCTGTGTGGGAACTGAACTAGGACCGCGCTATTGGGGATGGTCTGTGTAAGCCTGAGTCACTCAGATTTGTGTGTATTGGAGCCATGAGTAAACAGGAAATGCCGTTCTTTTTCGGCATGGTAGAAAATGGCTGCACTAGAGTGGCGCAGCACCATTCACAAGAGTAGAGATTCCCACGTTAATCTGGCATGGGCTGTGTGTGTGGCATGGGACCGAGAGCTGACCTCTGTGAACTGCGCCTTCCCCAGTCAGTGCCTTGTCAGTGGCTCTATGAAGACTCAAGCTGCTGCTTAGAATAAAGAAGAAGCCGCTTGGGAGAGGACAGCTGTGGGGTTCAGGCAAGTAGAAGATAGATGGAAGCCAGTGTTGCAGGGCTGGGCCTGCGGGCGTCTGCCTGAGGAAGTAAAAGATGCTATGGTCCCGCTGGGACCCTCAGGATTCTCTTCTGTGAAATGGGTAGGGGAGATTCCTAGTGAGTCAGCCACTCTGTGGGTCACAGAGGGAAAATATTCCCTTGAGTCTGAGAGGCAGAGGCAGGCAGATCGCTGTGAGTTCCAGGCCAGCCTGGCTTACAAAGTGAGTCCAGGACAGGAGAGCCAAGCTACACGGAGAGAAACTGTCTCAAAAAACAAATAAATCTCTTGGACTGTTTTCATTCTTGTGCTGAGCAGGCTGCAAGAATGTTTCCAGCTCTCAGTAGCACTGCATGAACTCAACTCATTCTCATCTCCCCTCCCCCACAGGCAGCTGCTGAAGACAGAGCTGGGGTCCTTCTTCACTGAGTACCTGCAGGTGGGTGAGCCTTGCCACGGAGGAAGGTTTGGTCTGTCTCAAAGGCGCTGTCTACGGTCATATGACCTGTGACAGCCTGGGCAGGCTCATGGCTTGCCTCGGTGGATGGGGTTTCGGCTGTGTGGCAGGAGGGTGGGTCTCATATCTTGGCTGCTTGCCGGTGAACTCCTGGAGGGGGGTGCCCTGTGGAATGGCTGCAGGCCAGTCATGGCACCTCTGTTCACTTTCAGAACCAACTGCTCACAAAGGGCATGGTGATCCTTCGTGACAAGATACGCTTCTACGAGGGTGAGTCTGGGGGCCTAGTGGAGCCGGCCTGGCTGTGGTGTGGTTGTGGTTGACGTTCTGGGACAGTGGCAGTGGCATCGCAGGTGCTGGGAGGGAGGGGTGGCTCTCCGCTTAAGATGAAAAGGAAAGAAACAGCATTGGACAGCGGGACGGAGGTCTGGAGTGGCAGGGGACCTTGGGGAGCGTCTGTCCCCCTCCGTGGGAGCACAGGAGGGCTGAGCAACCCCAGGGAGAGGTCCTCTGCCTCATCTACCTGCTCATAGCGGCTGTGCCTCTCAGCTTTTAATCACTGTGACAGAGCCAGCACTTTAAAAGGGAGTCTTAGTTTCATTTCTGTTGCTGTGATAAAGCACTGCAAGAAAGCAAGCTATGGGAGGAAGATTGTACCCTTACAATTCCAGGTACAGGTCATCATAGCAGGGGTATCAGGTGGGAATTCACACTCACAGTCAAGCTCAGAGATAACATACTGCTGCTGTCTGCTGTGCTCAGCTCTCTTACACACTGTAGGAGCCTAGGAACTGGATGCTGCGCACAGTGGGCTGGTTCTTCCCATATCAATGAACGATCAAGGCAATGCCCCACAGACGTACACAGAAGCCAACCTGATCTAGACCATCCCTGACTGAGTCCCTTGCCTTGTGAGCATAGTTTTTTTGTCAAGGCAGCAAAGCTTGACACCACAAAGGGAAAAGGCTTTCTTTTGACACACAGCGTCAGAGGTCTGTGGACAGGTAACCTCACGCTGAGCCCGGGTGTCCTGTCAGAGAGCATGTGAGTTAGCAGAGCTGTTCACCAGGAACGGCTCCCACAGCCAGGAAGCAGAGAGGCAGGAAGCGGCAAAGCATGCCTTTCGTAGGCCCTCCTGCAGTACATTGATGGGTTTTGGTGCCATGACAGAAGCAGCATAAGGAAGGGTACAATTTGCTCACAGTTAGAGCCTGCAGGCCACCATGGTGTGGGAGGCATGAGACTTTGAGGAGACGGGTCACACTGCACCCCGTTAGCTCAGTCCAGGACCCCAGCTTGTGGAACCCGGCTGACTGTATTCAGGGCGGGTCTTCTCACCTCATTAATCCAGGCTAGAAACTCCCTCTAATGCATACCCAGAGGAGACAATTCTAAGTCCTGTCAGGTCGACAGTCAGCATTCCCCCATCACACCGGCAACCCAGCAAGCCCCACCTCCTCCCAAGGCACATTCAGCTCTGAATTGGTCAGTCGGTCCATCTGGTGATGAAGCTAGTGCCCTTATGAGCCAGTTACCTCCACAGCGCCACTGGCTATGGACCAAGCCATCAACCGAGCTATTTTAGGGGCTACCTCATATCCAAACCGAAACAGAAATCCCATCCCATTGCCTGAGAGATACCTTGTTGAGTCTGAATATCCCAAGACCAGAGAACTAGCTTAGGGCGAGAGGTCATCGTTCCTACACAGGGACAGCAGAGATAGTAGACAGCTCGTCCACAGCCACACTATAGGAGATTGGAGCCTTGGTGTGATGCCGGGGCACCCCTATTTCTTTCTCAGGCCCCACAGTTCCAGGCAGCCTCCCTGCCTGGCTCTGCCCTCATGATAGGGCAGAGAGGGCTTTGACTTCCTAGTCCCAGTATCTTAGGCCTCTGCCATCTGATGGTCTTGAGGTTCCAGGAGGGGCTTGGCACTATGACAAGGCTAGTGTTCAGAGGACTTTGCAAATTCCTACTGTGTGCCAGGTCCTGTGAGCATGTGACAAGTACCTATTGTGTGGCAGGCCTGTGCCGACTCTGGGTCCCGTCAGCATTTGAGGCGCACCTACTATGCACCAGGTCCTGCACTGGCTTCAGCAGACAAGCATTTTATATGCACTTTGTATATACTAGGCCTTGTGCTGGCTTCAGGCTGTGAGTGTTCCACAAGCACCTACTGTGTGGGGAGGCTTCACACCAGCTATAGGCTTTGTGAATGTTTGTTGAGTGCCTCCCATGGGCCGGGCACCAGGTGTGTTCTCTACCAGGTTATGTCCTGGTTGGTTTGCTTCTGCTGACCGGGTGGATGCCCCAGCAGCCCTGGGAAGGAGCCATAAATGTTCAGTCCTGTTCGGGCCACACTCCATACACGGCAGCCCAAGTGCAGAGCAGGTGGCTGGCTTTCTGGAGCCCACTCGAGCCACTCACTGCTCCAGGTGTCTCCTCCAAGTGCTGGGCCTTGGGCAGTGGCTGTCAGCCCACTTGAGAGAGGCTGAGGCCTGGAGTCTTGCCTCATTCCAAGTGACCCCCTCCCCCGTTCCCCGTCATTTTCCTGCGTGTGTCGGGCAAGGCAGGCCAAGTCAGGAATGAGAAAGCCCTGAGAACAGTGGGTGTGGGCAGGAGGCCCAGGCAGCCGAGGTCCAGGGGTGTCCTGGTAGCCAAGCCCCTGGATGGTGCCGTGAATGTTTGGCACCTGAGAAAGACGCCTCCCACACCCTACTGACCCGCCTGACTCAGCACATTCCCTGAGGTGCCGGGTCCTGGGAGAAGGGCAGCTTTGTAAGGCCTGTGGAACCTCATGACTGTGATGGGGGTGGGGCTCCCAGGGAAAGGAGAAAGGATGCCCTGACTTTTACGACAAACCTCTAGGCCCAGGGAAGGCCGCAAGCTCCAGGCACACATGTAAATACACCATATTGTAACGTATGGGTATGACATATTTCGGCCTTTCCTTGCCCTCAGGGCCCCTTTCTTACCACTATAGCAAAGAACTATATCCTATGTCCACGTCAGGGCCCCAGGGATCTGGAGATGGAAGAGATACAGGCTTACCCTGCGGGGACTTAAAACTGAAGACTGAGACATAAACCAGATGTTGACAGGCTACTGTGACGCATGTCAGATGAAGGGAAACTCTGGGGACGGAAGGGTGACTCCATCCTAGCAGACAGGGAGAGCTGAGTTGGGGGTGGCAGCCCTTGGATATGCCTCCCCCCCCAATGTGGTCTGCACCTATCTGTCCCCTTCAGACACTTACCACTGCCTTATGGGTCAGCCTAGCCTCCCCCTACCTCATGAAATCCATCCCCCTGAGCCTGCACCGTGAAGCCAGCTGTACCCTCATCCCAAAACTGCTAGAGGGGACACATGAAGGCAGATGGTAGCCTGGAGAGCGCTGGGCACCTGTCCCCTCTCTGCACACTCTAGTGAGGCCTTTGTCATTATTTCCCAAGCTGGATTCAGGAGCCAGCTAGAGCTGGGAGTATTCCCTGTAGGGGAGCAGCCCGGTATCTCACAAGAGGTTCCCAGCTCAACACCCAGGGGGCCACAGGGGTCTGCTGCTGCTGCTGCTGAGGCTGTGATCTGAATTGTCTTACCCATGAGCCAGACTCAGTGTAGCTAATATGCCTGTGTGCCCAGCACACCCGCCTCCATCCCTGCATGCCTGTGCAGATGCCTCAGCCCCCACCTTTGTCATTTCTCTGTGGCCATCACCTAGAGCCTTCCATTTTGTGTCTCTGAACCAGAGCTATACCCGCTTGCCTCCCTGCTGCTGGTTCTTTAACACCCTGGGGTTGTTGAATAAAGGAGAGCCTGACCGCCCAGTGAAAGGCATCATGAAGCCTGGCCCTTCCCCAGAGCTTTCTGCTCCACCTCTGGCTGGGGCCCAGGCAGGGCACACACATTTGCTGGCTGTGTCACCCCAGCAGCAAACACAGGGTACCTTGTCATCCATCCCCGGGGTCTTATCCTGTCCCTACACAGAGGGTGCCACTGGGTCTGGCTGGAAGAACTTTCTGGGGCTGCGCTGCAGCCGCAGAGCCAGGCTGCAGCCCTTGTCTGTGGGTCTGACTGCAGCCTCTGCTGACCCCACTCCCCGGCACCCAGCCCAGCCCACAGTCCCAGGCAAGAACCCAGCCAGGGACCAGGCTCTCCTTCCGGGTCTCTGACAGCACATGGCTCCAGCTGGGGCCTGGATTCTGTGTTTTACAACATCTGCTTTCTGTGGCGTGGCCGCCCTGTGGGCTAGAGGACGACCTTCACTTGGTGGCACACTGCCCTGGCTGGCACCCAGGGCCACCCCACAGCCAGCCAGGACTGAACAGCCTTTCTTCCTGTATGATGGCAGGAACTGAGGGGACTTTGTGTTCGGTCAGGGCTCCGAGGGGCTGTGAGCATCCGCCTGCCCCGGGCATTCCTGCGGTCTCCTTGCCCCTGGAGCCAGGTGTGGGCCACCCAGGAGTATTAGAGCTGTCCGCCGTCAGACAGCCTTCAGCGGCCACACACAGAGGCCAGCCTGCTCCTGGGGCCGGCTCTCTGTATTCCCCACATCGTCGCTATGCACCAACCTGGGGCTTTCCATGAGGGAAAGTTCCACAAGAATTGGAAAGCTGGGCAAAGGCCTTCACAGGCTTCCTTGTTCCCATAGAAGCCTGGAGACAGGCAGGCTGGCCAGCAGTCAAGGAACCCTTCCCTCCCTGCTCAGACCCACATGGCGACAGAGGCCTATGGGACACATGCTGGCTCTGTTCACGTCTAGACCAGTGATTGTTTGTCTCTAGCTGTCTACCCTGATGACAAGTCTACACACCACAGAGCCATGTTGGGGCACCTACCACTCCCCCAACAGCTACCCATCTGGCAGGTGCCACTCTGCCTGAGGCCAGCTGAGTTCCTGCATCTTGTCCAAACTACCACACAGCTACTTCTTTCTCCTCACAGGGGTGGGGCAGGGGTGGGTGTCACATGCCCAACACGTATCCATCTGAGAAGCCAGCTCGGACACCAGACAGCTCCAGGAAGTCCTCCCTGCTGACCCCTTATCCCATCTCCCACAAGTAGGCTGGGATGGTGTGGCCTGGGGCCCTTCAGAGAGGGAGCCAGAGACTGTAGCCTGGCTCGCTGATCCAGAGGCCACCCTTAACCCATTTCCCTTTCCCAAGACTGTTCTGCATCCTCCCCCCTGCTCCATAACAATAGGTATTTGGAGCCACCAGGGTGTTGACTGTCCCCAGTGCCCAATGTCAGGCCTGTCTCCACTGGGGTTTCGCCGAGCATCTTCATAGCTCATGTCCGGTCTGCTCTAGTTAGTAGGCCTTGTCATGTGCCCACTTGACAGTTGGGGTGGGCTCGGTGGCAGGGCCTCAGCGCACCTCCCACTCTCGCTTAGCTCCTTGTCCTGGGTGGGTCTGCTAGCGTGTTCAGGACATGTGACAGCTCCTCGTGCCCACAGGACAGAAGCTGCTGGACTCACTGGCGGAGACCTGGGATTTCTTCTTCAGTGACGTGCTGCCCACGCTGCAGGCCATCTTCTACCCTGTGCAGGTGGGTGACGGCCGGGTGCATGGGAATGAGGGGAGTCCTCCTTGTCCAAGGTGCGCTGTGGGGACCTGGGATGGATCTAGGAAGGAGGACTGCAGGCCTCATGGCGCCTTCTGCACTAACCCAGGCTGTCCCTTACAGGCCAGCTGAGCCTGGCAGGCGTGTGGAAGGCCTGGAGTGGCCTCTGCACGGTAGAGAAAACCCTGCTAGATGAGGCTGCAGGGAATCTTCTATCTCTGGCAGGGTTCCTGTGGGAGGGAAAAGGAGGGAATCGTGGGTGTCGTTGGCCCCCGATCCCACACCCCACCCCCGACCCGGGGTAGGAAGATAAAACTGCACGACAGCCATGGGACCAGCATGCCTCTTCCTGTGTCCACAGGGAAAAGAGCCGTCGGTGCGCCAGCTCGCCCTGCTGCATTTCCGGAACACCATCACCCTCAGCGTGAAGCTGGAGGACGCGCTGGCCCGCTCCCACGCTCGCGTTCCCCCTGCCATCGCACAGATGCTGCTGGTTCTGCAGGTGGGAGGAGGGTTTGGGGACCCAGGATGATAGAGACCAAATGGGCAGGGAGAGGGCAAGTGGGGCTTTAGGGCTGGGGTGTGAACCAGACCAGAATTACGTATTCATGGCAGCAACTGGCTTCAGAAGCCTGATCAGTTCTCGGGATGGGGACCACACACACGCACATGAGCGTACAAGCATGCATCCTTTTAAAGATAGGCTTTGTGGGATCTGGTGTGGGGACAGAAGGAATAGTAAAGGTCTCATAGCAGGGAACAGTGGTAATGTAGGGGTTTGCAGGGTACAGGGGCGGATTGCAGGGTCCAGGGGCTGCCCTGAATCGGAGGCGTACGGTCACCTTGAAACGAAGCCAAGTGCAAGCCTTTGAGTGGGATCTCCACACACTGGGTCTGGTCTGGCAGGGTGGGTGTGAAGGGAATTGGGAAAGATGGAAGGGCAGGTCACTGTGGTGCTGAGGCCTGGGATTAAATTGGAGAAGATGGCCAAGGCTCACAGAGGTGCTGCCCCCTGCTGGCCACTGTGCCTCCTGCAGCTTCCCAGCTGTGCTTCCACAGTCCCAGTGCGGCCTCTATACCAGTGGCTTGCATTGTCCCACCTGCTGCCTCTCCCCAGGCTGAGTGACCTTGACCTAAGGCTGCTGTGAACTGGGGACCTCACCTTGGTCCCCAGATGAACCTGGTCCACACTGTTTCAAGTCTTGAGTTGCTCTGGAGTCACGGCCTGCTAGTCAGTGTGTACTGAGGACCCGCTCCTACTTCACCCCTGATTCACCCCTTCCTAGGATCCCAGCTCCTGCTGGGGCCCCCGAGTGTGGGATAATAATCACACTTAACAGCCGTGTGTCACTTAATACACATAACCTGCCCCGGGCCTCTCCTCCCCTGTAGCAGGGGAGATGTGACTTCATAAAATTTACAGAGCTGGTATGGGCAAGGTGTGGTATCACACGCCTGCAGTTCCAGCCCTCGGGAGTCAGAGGCAGGAGGATCTCACCTTCACAGCAGCCTAGGATGTGTGATATGACCTCGGGACCTGGCTAACCCCAGGGACAGCCTCTCCCTCCCTCCCCGACCCCCAGGCACGACCTCAGATGATAAACTCAGTGCTCCTGGGTAAAACCAACTGTCTTTTAAAGCACCACCCGGGCCCCCTAGGACACCAGCACCCAAGTGACTTTAGTGTAAATCACCTCATGTGGCTGTAGGGCACCAGCTATGGAAGAGACTGCTGTAGCGTCTTCCTGCCAGGAACCCTGCCCTGGGGAAGATGAGGGAGAGACAGGCTGCTACCAGACCAGGGTATGTGACCCCGATTTTCTTGCAGGGAGTACACGAGTCCAGGGGTGTTACCGAAGACTACCTGCGCCTGGAGACACTGATCCAGAAGGTGGTGTCGCCATACCTGGGCACCTATGGCCTCTATTCCAGTGAAGGGCCCTGTACCCATTCCTGCATCCTTGGTAGGTACTGCCTGGGGCTGGGGCTGGGGCTGGGGCTGGGGTGATATGATAGTGTTGGCAAAACCAGGGTCCATCACCCAGAAGATCTGTCCCATGCACCTGCCTGGCCCTGCCATGTGCAGACCCCAGGGTGGAATGAGTGTTGGAGGGTAGCCGGCAGTGCCCAGGGCATCGATGGCTCTCCACAGAGATCCACTGTGTAGAGAGTCTACAGCACTCCCAAGATGTCACTGCCTCAAAGTGGGATGATCTGAAAGGAGGCCCGGTAGAAGCCTGCCATGCTGCCCCTTGTTCATTCAACAGTGTCGTTAGGGCCCTTGCTGTATACCAGCCCAGAGACCAAGCCGCACCTCCTTTCAGAGCTTTGGTCTAGCTGGAAAGATGGGTCCGTGAGTTCCCATGTGACCAGTGGGGTGCAGGATGCAGAGGATCCCAGGATCCAGGCATGTGGAGTCCCTTGGAAGGCTCACCATCATCTGCGCTGCTGCCTAGGGTAGAAAGCCCGAGTGCTGGGTGTGTCCCAGCTCAGGCAAGTTAGAGCTGGGAACTTTGCACCTCCCGGGACCTGTTTGGCTGTAGACAGTGGGATACCTGGCAGTCAAGACAGTAACCCCTCCTGGTCCAGAGAGGCTTCCAGACAGAGCTTGTTGTACGGAGGAGTGCCACCCATGGTTACTTGGGCATCGCAAGGTCCTGCATGGAAGCCTTTCTTCTAAATGGCCACTGCCTGTTCAGGCCAAAGCTGGGAATGTCAGTTAAAGTTCTCCAGCTAAGGCAGGAACCTTGTACCGCTCCTCGAAGGTAGTCTGGGCTGGTCTAGAACTAGTGGCCACTGAGCCTTTTACTGGGTGGCCCTTCTGTGGGTAAGACGCTTGACCCTAAGCGGCTGCCCAGAGGTGGGGCTTGGGACACTCGGAGAACATATGGGCCGGCAGCCACCATCCTAGTGTATGACACTGTCTGTTCCTGCAGAGAAACGGCTCCTGCGCCGCTCCCGCTCTGGAGATGTCCTAGCCAAGAACCCAGTGGTGCGTTCCAAAAGCTACAACACACCCCTGCTCAATCCCGTGGCTGAGCATGAAGCAGAAGGCACGGCGGCCAGTGGCACGAGCATCCGAAGGCACTCGGTCTCCGAGATGACGTCCTGTCCTGAGCCCCAGGGCTTTGTGGACACACCAGGCCAGGGCTCTTCAGGGACCTTCAGGTCTTCTCCAACGCCCCACTCAGGGCCTTGCCCCAGCAGACTGTACCCTCCTGCCCACTCCTCCGAGCAGGGCCCAGCCCATGGCTCCCCACCCACCTCCAGCCCTGAGACACTGGTGGACCAGATCCTGGAGTCCGTGGACTCAGACTCCGAAGGGATATTCATTGACTTCGGGCGGGGTGGTCGCTCTAGTATGTCTGACTTTGAGGCGGCTGGAGGCCGGCCGAGTGTGGTGTGACGGCCTGAAGTTACTCTGTGTTTTTACTGACCCCTGTGCGTTCTCGTGTCGTCTGCGTCTGTGTGCGTGAGAGACATGTTACTTTCTCCTAACCTCAGCAGCCCCCTGTCACTGCCTTGGTCACTTTATACTCCCAGTCTGTTGGAAAACCCATCCACCACCTTCTTCCCCTCCCCCCACCCCCGTCACCCCAGGTCTGATTGAGACATCCAGTTGGTACCACCCACATGCACACTTGATTCATCAGGAAGATGGGATCACCACATGCCCTCCTGCCTGCCCCACCTTTGGTGCCCACACCTACCCAGGAAAATGTGAAACCAGTGGGTTCTGCCTATGCCAGCCCAGCCTGGCCCCCACAGTGGCGGGACTCAAGCTGCAGCCACACCTGGCTGCCTGCCCCTCTCTGCCCTGGGTAGCCACAACAGGAAGGTCTGAAATAAAGTTGCAGCTTCAGGCTACTGTCTGGCCCCTGGTGTCCTTCTGGGACCCTCCCCACGTCATGGGGACATGAAGGACCTCTTCTTCATGTCAAGGGTGCATTCCCAGGTTGGGGCCATTGTCTGCCCTTGCATGTGTTTTCAGGCCAGTGTTGCTATGTCACCTTGATGGAAGGGTCCCTGGTCCCAGCCCCAGGAATTGGCTGTGAGGGACCAAGCCACTGCAGCCATGGAGGGAAAGGCGTCACCTGGGACCTACTGATCTTGCCCTTTATTTGGTGGAGACCCTGGCCTGGTAGGAAGGGCCGCCCTGCTTTCCCAGCTGCTCTGTTTCTCTGCCTCCAGAGAAGCTTTCCCAGAGTCTGAGGGTCAGGACCTCCTGATGCACTGCCTGTCCTTGGTAAATGGGCATGAGTGTACTTGAGTGCTGCCGGAGTTGCTACAGGCTTGCACTGGCTCATCACCCTAGCTTGACAAGCCATGCCTGGAGTAGGCCTCTGTCCATTGAGATCCTTTCTATAGAGCCGGGGAGTGGGGACCGCCTAGACCACATGCTGACCCCATAGCACAGATCCTTCAAAGTGCTCAGGTCTTGAATGATTGTTGGGAATGGGAAAGCCATGCTTTCCAAGCAAGTAAGATCCAGGTGGAGGGCCCCCAGACCAGCTAGAAAATAGTCAGCACAGGAGGCAGCTACTTCATGCTTGAACTGCAAGGCCTTGCGGTTCTACCAGATCTACTAGAGATAATAACAATGGATGGGTTCTCCTCAGGATGGGAAAAACAGCCTGTTCCCCAGGGATGAGCGGCTTGCGCTTCAGTGTTGCCTGTGTTAAGAGCCATGCTCACCTCACAGGGTGTCTAAGAGTTACTATTGCTATGATGAAACACCACGACCAAAAGCAACTTATGGAGGAAAGGGTATTTGACTTCCATATCCAGCATCAAGTCCATTGAAGGAAGCCATGGTGGGAACTTGGAGGCAGGAGCTGATGCAGAGGCCACGGGGGATTGCTGCTTGCTCTCAGGGAAGTGGGATCATTCTGGGACCTGGTCAAGCTTTGCCACCCTTCCCTCCCTCAACACCAGCAAAGTCATCTGGAACCCCGTGAAGTGGAATGGGCAGAGGCTTCCACTGTCAGGGGTTCTACCGTAAGGAGAGTGAGCGGTCTTAGCTAAGCCTATCGGGGTTCTGTAGAGCAGTGGTTCTCAGCTTTCCTAATGCTGTGACCCTTTGGTACAATTCTTTTGTGTTGTGACCCCAACCATAAAATTGTGCCGTTGCTACTTCATAACGAATTTTGCTGCTGTTCGAATGAGAAGTGTCTGACATGCAGGATATCTGGTGTGTGACCCCTGTAAAAGGTTCATTCGACCTCCTGGTCCCACAGGTTGAGACCCGCTGCTCTGGAGGACCAGATAGATAGAATGTGTATAAGTAGGCTCTAATGTCAGTGAAGGAATGGACTTGGCACGGAGAGTGGGGCAAGCAGGCCAAGAGAGCAAGCTTCCTTCCTCCATGTCCTTTAGATAGGCTGCCAGCAGGAGGTGTGGTCCTGATTAGAGGTGGGCCTTAATTTAATTAGGAAAAAGAGCTTGATCTAATTAAGAAAAAAAAAAAATCCCTCACAACTGGATCCAGCCGCCTGGGTGGAGTTAACTTTAGTTAATTGTAATTTTAGCTAATTTCAGTTGCAGACAACCAAGAATAGCCATCACACCAGGTGTTCAGAGACTGGCATCCCGGGGTGTGCCACATACGAACGTTGCCTGGGTGCCCCACCCACTCTTTGGAAGAGCCCCGAGCCAGTTGGCTCAGGTTCCCGCTGCTTACGTCTACAGGAGGCTTGTGCTGGCTGAGATGAGTTACTGTTTCATGGTTTGTATGCCGACCCTCCTCCCCTTCCCCTCCGCTCCCGGCAGCTCGGTTGTTCTTCCACCGGGCTCCTAGGTCTGTCCCAGCGCCTGCCCTGTGTCTTATTTAGTTACTACTAGATCAACATGGGGCATGAGAAGCCCAGTTGGTGTTTGTGTGCATGTGTGTGTCTCGGGGGGGGGGACGGTGGTTGCATTCAGGGTCCTAGGCTGGTTCCATGGATTCCCCAAGCCCTCCTGCAGACCTGAATGTGGGTTTCTGCCACCCATGGGGTTGACAAGCCCTGCCACCTGATCAGAGGTTCCAGCACCCTGGGAAAGCATGCAAGAACCCCATGCACTGCTGACTGTCATGGGGTGGGACACCAGGCCCTGCCTATTGGCCATCAGCTGTGAGCCCTAATCCACTGTGTGTGGGGGAGCGGTGGGAGATAGGGAGGCCACTGGAAACAACTGGGAATATTTATTTATTTGTTTGTTTATTTGTTTATTAATTTATTTTTAATGTTGAGTGGGGCGTGTTGCCACTCGCCTTTAACCCCAGTACTTCGGAGACCAAGGCAGGTGGATCTCTGAATTCAAGGCCAGCCTGGTCTACATAACCAATTCCAAGCCAGCTCCAGTTATACGATGAAACAACAACAAATGACTTTGAAAACATTTATCTAACTGGAGTGACCCCTGGTAGCTGACACTGCTCAGTGAGGCTTCCATTCCATCTCTGGAGCTCTTGCCTTTTTCTGTGCTACCTCCCGAAGGCTTCTGGGACGATAAACAGCACCACACCCTTCTATGGGGAGGATGCTGTTGTGGCCTTCAGAACCTTGGTGTGTAGGAATGTGTGTCCATCTCTCTTAATAGGGTTGGCAGGTCATTTGAGATGTCAGTGAGCCCTGGGAACACAATCAGGGTAGATTTCACCCTAGCAAGCCAAGCCCTCGGCTCTGTCCCCATCACTAGACTCTGATGATACAAAGATACCACTGCTTAAAGCTGAAGATGTGGGTCAGTGGGTAGGACTTGCTTAGTATACACAGGCTCTGGGTTCAAGCATATGTGACTCACATCCAATCCCAGCACTCAGAGTTCAAAGTCATCCTTAGCTACATATTGAGTCTAAGGCCAGCTTGGACTACATGGAGCCTGTCTTTTTGTTTTGTTTTATTTTGTTGTTTTGAGACATGGTCTCACTAGACCAGGCTGGCTTCCAACTCACAGAGATCCCCTGCCTCTGCCTTTTGAGTGCTGGCATTAAAGACATGAGCCACCCACTGAATCTCTGTCTTAAAAAACAAAACAAAATACGGCTTTTCCATTAAGTCAGACACCTGGCCTTATCTCCCGCTTCTTAGAGGCAAAGTGACCCAGGTCACAAGCATCAGCATGGCTAATGGAAATTTGAGGTGCTTTGTGGCCTCACCTGGGGCCCTGGTTAGTGTTAGTGTGAGAACATTGCTTCCTGCCTGGCCTTGCCCTCACACCCATGGGATCTAGGACCCAGCAGGCCAGAGGGCCTTGTCACCTGGATTCCTCTGTCCCCACTCTGTCCCAAGTCCAGGCACCATACTTACTATGGCTTCTGCATCCAACCCTCAGCAGCCTGGCCCAAATTTCACAGAGAGGTTAGGGCACAGTGTTCCTCAGTGCCCTTGGGATAAAAGCCCCAGTTCTGCAGTGCTCCCCAGTTCTCTTGGGATAAGAGCCACCATTTTGCAGTGCTCCCCAGTGCCCTTGGTATAAAAGCTCCAGATCTGCAGTGCTCCCCAGTGCCACTTTGGTGGTGAAAGTCATTCCATTCACAGAGAGGTGTGCTGGCCTCCCCACCAGCTCGCTCACAAATCTGCTCTCAAGGCCCACAATTGGACCTCCTCAGTGCCCTTCCCAGCAGTCTGTCTGCCTGGCTACTCAGCTCTTGGAGTTCCCAGGTCCTCCTGTGCCTAAGTCACAGCACAGGGAGAGGGAAACGCTGGGCCCCTCCCTAACTCTCAAAACCTTGGAAACATCTTCCAGGGACAGCAGCCTGCTTCCTGAAGTTCTAGGGCTCTTCACACCCTTGCTGCTGAAGCCTCACTGTCCTGTCTACAGTGACACTGGGACATTGGCTGAAGTCTCAGCACCCCACACATACTGTCCCTCACACATCCCCACACACATGTTCATGTACACAAGGACAAATACACAAGCCTACACACACACACACACACACACACACACACACACACACACGTACGTGCTTGTGTAGTCACCCACTCACAGTACATGTTCACAACTTGCCTGTACGCAACAGCCCAGGAAGGGGCAGTGTTTCATCATATAGCCCTAGCTGGTCTCACACTCACTATGTGGACGAGGTATTGACCCCCAGCTCACAAAGATCCACCTGCTTCCCACATGCTAAGGCTGAAGGCTTGGGCCACTATGCCTGCCTGACCCATCATAAAGTGTGGCGGTTTGACTGAGAACGGCACGCATGGCCTCACATATTTGAATGCTTGGTTCTCAGTTGGTGGAATGGTTTGGGAAGGATTAGGCAGTGTGGCCTTGCTGGGGGAGGTGTGTCACTGGGGTGGGCTTTGAGGTTTCAAAAGCTCACACAAGGCCCAGACTGGCTTTCTGCCTCTTGCCTGGGGAGCAGGATGGAAGCTCTGAGCCACTGCTCCAGCGCCATGCCTGACTACTTCCTTCCAAGCACCCCACCATGAAGTTTATGTAGCAACCCTCTGAAACTGCCAGCCTGCCTTCAGTTGACTGCCTCCGTCTATAAGTTGCCTTGCTCGTGGTGTCTCATCACAGGAATAGAACAGTAACAAAGACGTATAGTTTTTAAACAAATGAGGCTTTTGTGAATGCTGGAATATGACTCAGCCTAGAAAACAAAATGAATTCGGGGCGGGGAGGGGTGCTGAAGAGATAGTTCAGTGGTTAAGAGCACCTATTGCTCTGAGAGAGGACCTGGGTTCAGTTCTCAGCACCCACTATCAGCAACTCCAGGTCCAGCGGATCTGACACCCTCTCCTGAGCTCCACAGGCACCAGGCACTGTGGTGCAGGCAAAACACCCACACCCATAAATAAATCTAATAAAATAAAAATAGAGACAGCGAGCTCACACAATACTACAGCTCGGGTTGGCCTTTGAAGACACGTAAGAAGGGGGAGACAGACTCAGCAATTCTTAGTCTACTCCCTTAGGGAATATGGATGTGACCTTTGCAAACCTGGGTACTGAAGGCCAAGAGAAGAGGCATGTTCCAGCAGGAGACCTTGGTCCTTGAGCATCAAGAGTGAGCACAAAGCCGGGGGATGGCACTGAGCCTGAGGGTTGGAGATGGGAGAGGGAGTGCTGTCATTTTGGGAGCAGCACTCATCGTGACCTGAGTACACCCAAATCTTTCCAGGATTCCAGAGGCTTGTGGGGTCTTCCGCTGGGGAGACAGCTGATGGAGGAATGCTATACTGTGTTCACCTGTCCCCCACTCCCCTCCTGGGGACAGCCAGTACCACTAGCATGATTCGGAGATGGCTGCTGTGAGGTATGAGGCAGGCCAAACAACCTCAGTCTCTCCACTTGAAGCAGGGATCTCTGAGGCTGTGACATTCTCTTCTCTGCCTGCCTGTGCCTGTGACTCACATACAGAGTAGGGCTGTAGGGTTATAAAGCCACACGAATGGGTGCTAAACAAAAAGGCCATGTTCAGCAGCAGATGTGGATCCTTAGTGGGCTTTGACCTGCAGGTGATAAGGGCTCAATAATAAACTGGCTTTGCCCCCAGAACCTTTTCCTTCATTGATGGATGTGTTTGTAGAGAGGGTAAAACATCTTTAATCAGCTGTAAATAGGCTACTAATATGTAAAGCATGCCCGCCGGGCAATGGCCAAAGAGACACCGTGTTGGTGGTGGTTTTCTTATATCAGGGCAGAGAAGATGGCAGTTCTTTGATCATCCTAGCTTGATGGCTGGCTTGGTGACTAAAGCTGTCTTATGCCTAGGACCCATAAAAATAAAATCAAACCAAATCAAATCAAATCTAGGCAGCACAATGCAGGAAGAGGAATAAAGAGACTTATGCCACCCACAGATCTGTCCTCCAGCTCATGGCACAGGTGCGCCATAGATACTTTCTTACTGCTATGCCACACAGCACAGAAGGAAGATGTCCAGGGGCCCACCAGCCTCTTGGCCAGCCTGCAGCAGAAGCCACCACAATGTATGAATATGTGGTGATCGGATGGGAGAGAGACATGGAACAGCTTGAGTGTTATGAGGAGAGATGAAACAGGGGAGCAGAGAGGAATAGCCTGTTATGAGTGGCCAGCCCCTCCACCCAGGGCCATGGTGAGGCCCCAGCCTGAGCTGCCCACTGAGGGCCTTGTCTGAGTCTGTGGCTACACAGTGGCAGGGGTTGGTGTCAATGTCCGTGGCTCATATGACCAGTAACTAGAGAACATGGGGATCTCCCTGGCGGGGCAGCCTCCGGGGAACACATGGATGTCCAAGGACTGTGCCTAGCTGGGCCTGCCCCTCACTGGATGCAGCACTCTGGAAAGCTGGACCTGTGTCTCATGGGCAACAGCTCTCGGGAGAACCGGCCCTGCCCCTCACCCACCAGCCCGGTGGAGCTGGTCCTGGTGGCAAGGGTGCGGATGAGCCAGCTCCTAGGGCATGAATGTGGGAGAGCTGACCCCGCCACTAGTCTACTGTGGGGTGACGTGGGGTACAGAGGTGATATGCTGCTCCCCCCAGCCCCTCACCACCTCTGGCGGTTGGGAAAGCTGCCCACAGAGTCATGAGCTCCCGTCTCTCACCAGTTGTCCTGAACCAGTTGTCTGGACAGTACAGCAGAGCCAACCCTGGTGCTGAGGGGTGTAGGTGAGCTGGCCTGAGAGCAAGAGCACAGGACAGATGCCCCCCCCCCCACTTGTCTGGTGTAGGTGAGGTGGCCTGAGTGTGGAGGTGAGGCCCTCACCTTCGGTAGCCAGGAGAGCTGACCCTGGGGTCCTGAGAGAGGTAGAGCTGATCCTGCCCCCTCAATGGCTGCAGCGCTGGGGAGAGTGGGCCCTGTTCCTCACGTAGGCAATACAGTGGAGCCGGCCCTGAGGGATGAGAGCGGGAGAGCTGGCCCTGTCCCTCACAGGCTGCAGCGCTTGGGAGAGTGGGCACCAACCTTGACTGGGCAGCACAGTGGAGCTGGCCGTGTGGGTGCTTGTTGAGCTGCCCCCGAGGGCATGGGAGCAAGAGAGCTGACCCTGCCTCCTGCCAATGGCCGCACTGGGTGTCCTGACTGGAGCAGTGCTGGAGAGCTTGCTCTGGTGGTGCAGATGAGGAGCCAAAAGAAGCCAGAGACCTTGCACCAGACCTATGACTCATTGCAATGAACATCTGCAGGTAAAGATGTGTGGACAGAGGGATGTGCTGGGACACACTGCAACATACTACAATGAGTTTCCACAATGAGATGCTTTCTATGCTTTGTTTTGTTGTTGGCTGTCAGCTGCTTGGTTTGGGTGTTTTATTTGGGGGGAAAGTTGCAAGGGTGAAGGATGAATTTGAGGTGATGGAGAGACAAGTGGGACTGGTGTCGTGGAAGTTTGGGTGTCGTTAAAAACTCAGTTGTGTTATGTAAACACTTTTTTGTTTTAATCCCAGGTGTGGGATGTGGGGCTGATTCAGATTGCCCAGAGCAGCAGACTGTTTGCCTCGTGCGGGCGCTGAGAGGGGCTCTTTGCCAGCTGCAAGTAGTTTAATTCTGAGGACTCTGGGGAGCGAACAAATGCCAGAGCCCAGAGAGAGAAGACGGCTCCGAGAAAGAAGCCTCCCTGCTGCTCCTTGTTGCTGTTGATGCAGTTTGACGAGAAGAAGTTGGAGATATCCCGTAATGGAGATTAGACTTATACCAAGGAACCTAATGACCTTAACCAGCTGGAAGTAGTTAAAGATAACTAACTACCCTCTTCCTACTAACCTACTTTCTCTCCTACCCAGTGCTGGGGGGTTGGAAGGGATTGGGGTTGAGAAGGGAGCAACGGGTATAAGAACTAAATCAAAATATTTTAAAAAAGTACGGCTGCAGACTGGGGTGCATGGTGTGAAACTCACAAAGAATAAAAAGGTTTTTGTTTTGTTTTGTTTTGTTTTGTTTTGTTGTTGTTTTAATTTAAAGTATCAGCCAAATGGTGATGGCGCACAACTTTATTCCCAGCGTTTGGAAGGCAGAGGCACTCAGATCTCTTTGAGTGTGAAGCCAGGCTGGTCTACAGAGTGAGCTCCAGGACATCCAGGCTACACAGAGAAACCCTGTCTTGAAAAACAACAAAAATGGAAAGCATTGCCCACATTATCTGCAGGAAGGCTCTCTCTCCTCGGGACTCTCTGGGACTCTCCTCAGCCTGTGTGTGGTGGGGATGAGGGCCACATTGGGGATATAGATCATGGAAGGCTCTTACCTGTGAGCTACTTGAGATGTGGCAATGCTGATTGCCCTATGGTAGGAACTTTCCACGTTGTCAGGTGTGGGGGGCCACCCTCAGGCTTAGCTTCCAGGAACAGTGTCCAAAACCACTCCACAAAGCAGAGTGGGCTAAGGGCGAAGCAATGACTATGGCAGCAACGTGCAGGGGACTCCACCTCACAGGAGACTCGACCCCACAGGAAGACACCCACTCGATAGGGAGACTACGTCACAGGAGGCTCCGGTTGCTGTGAGCCAGAATCAACAGCCACAGCAGCCATACCCAGAAGGTCCCAGTTCCTTCGCCTGCAGCCTCTGTTGCCACACCCCACTGCCCTCACTGCAGGGGTGTCTGCAGTCACCCCAGCCAGCAGAGTAGCAATCCGATGGGAGGCAAGAAGGCAATTCGGTTCAACATGACTCATAGCTGTTGTTGGTTCAAACTTTGGGAGTCTAACCTCGACTAGTTTATTTCAGGTCTGTTTAAGCGTGCCACCATCTGATGAGAAGTTTTCCTGGTGACAACTGACTCAATCCCGTGTGCACAGCAAGGCTTAAGACAAGACTACATCAAAACGCTATGTAAAATACAACTCACGTCTTCCGTAGAGATGGGTTCTCCAGATTGACTGAGGAGACAGCCTCAAGACAAGGGTATGGGGGAGGGAAGGCTGGCCGCACAAACAGTGCAAAGGCCACCAGGCTGTTTCGCCTTGTCTGCTCCCAGCCTTCCGGGCACAAAACAGGTCACACATCTCTCTTTGAGGAGACAACCCTGAGTGTTTAACATTCCTGGTTCCCCTGGTGTTTATCTGTGAGCACAGAGGGACCGACGCGCCTCCTGCACATACACCCATGCTGGAAACAGTGGTCCTGGCAGCACAGTGTGTTTCCAGTTTGCGCCCTCTCTTAGAGTGTACCTCACTGTGGTGGAGCCCGCCGCTGCCTGTGCCCTGATGGCAAAGGAGGCTGGGTGAACTATCTGTTAGGTCACTTTCCCATCCGCAAGGCTGTCTGGTTAGGTTTGTTTGTTTGTTTGTTTGTTTTTATGTCAGCCAGACACAAGCTAGTGTCATCTGAGAAGAGGGAACCTCGGTTGGGAAAATGCCCCCGTCAGATTGAACCGTAGGCCAAGCCTGTGGGACATTTTCAGGGTTGATGGTTAATGTGGGAGGGCCCAGGCAACTGTGGGCACTGCCACCTATGGACAGGTGGTCCTGGCTGCTGGAAGGAAGCAAACTGAGCAAGTCATGAGGGGGCAGGGCAGTGAGAAGTGTTCTCAATGGTTTCTTCATCAGTTTCTGCTTCTGGGTTCCTGCCTTGCGTTCCCTGATGGAAGGTGATCAGGATATGTGAGGTGAAATTAACCCTTTCCTTCCCCAGGTTGCCTCTGGTCAGGGTTGCTTATCAGAGCAACAGAAACCTAACTAAGACAGAGGCCTATGAGGTGGGAATTCTTTGACAGCACGGACATTTGAAGAGCTGGGGTGCCAGCCTAGGACACCAGCGGCCACGCCTCTGCCCGTCAAACAGGTACAAACTGAAGTTCCTGAAAAGACCTCCAAGGCTGAGTCACTGACTGGGGAGAGAGCGAAATGTTTCGGACCCAGAGCCAAATTATCTCGTGCTATCTCTAACCCCTCGGCAAACTGCTATTCATTGCCCTCCTCTGTGTCCTTATGACTATCTCGTGACACCTTGGGATGTGTTAACAGACCCCTATCCTCTCCTTAACCCAAAAGCTAAGAATGTCATCAGACAGCCTCTGAGGTCAAAGCAATCCTGCCTTTGTGGAACTCCGCCTACCTGATCTTCCCACCATTGTGTTTGAAAAGTGTGCTGATTTATGATTTTCTTTGTTCTGCTACTGTGAGAACTTTATGCAACCATTTCATACTGGCTTCGCTCATACTTGACTCCAGAATAACCACTTTTTCCCTTTGAAAGTACTGTTTTTCAGTCAGCAGGCTCTTCAGAGCAGGGGCCCCTTGGCTGGGAATGTAAAGTACCACCCTGGGCCACTGGGTCCCACAGAAACAGGAGCAGGACACCATCTCTGCACTGGGCTATGGGCAGAAAACAGGCCTTTAAGTGTGTGTGTGTGGGGGGGCGCTACTGTGGCCTGGCCAGCAGAGGAGTGGCTAGAGGACGCCCAGATTCCTTTCTGCCTGCCTGTCCCCCATGCGTCAGCTGCTCGGAAATGCTGGTTTCCTGGAAGATTGCGGCTCCCCGAAGCTGGCTGGGTGAGCCACTGGGGAGAAAGCAAACAGGAAGCCCAGGACCTTGGCTGGTGGGCTGGTGGCCGGGCCTTTCTTCCTCTTATCTCCTGCGTTCCACCCAGGCATACTCATTAACTTAGAATTTGCTGCTTGGGAAAGAAGAGGCCTCCGACTTCATAAACATCTGTAAGGACAAATTTAATAAAGCCGGTAGTAACATCATTCAGGCGGTAGCTCTTCATTTCCCATTACCGTCCTTTATCATCCATTATCTTTTTTTTTTTTTTTTTTTTTTTTTTTTTTTTTTTTTTATTGCTCAGCCTTTGAAATG